ACCGTCATCCAATCCGAATCCGCGAGATAGTGTATCGCGAGAGAGAATCTAAGGATCTAAGAGAGAACGCGTGGGAGAAAAGTCGAGAGCGGAAACTCGATTGCGTCGCGTCGGTTCACCGAAGGATAGTTGGTGCGAGCGAGATAGGAGGACGAGCAAACAGAGGCAAAGTAAGTTTTTACTCGTGTTCCTGGCCGGTGGCCGAGTAGCTAAGATTAGACGAACGTTCGCTATATATAGGATGACATTTATATACGCACCTACTAAACGCGACTGTACACGCGTCTCCTTCTAGTCCTCTTCCTCTTTACCCCGTCACACCTATACGCACACACGTTACTTTCTCTGTTTGTTCCTTCGTTCTTTTTTCAATCATCGTTTTTCTTCGCGGAAAACGTATCAGAGATTCGGCAACGATCCATTTTTGTGATAGGATTTGTGATTATCTACGCGAAGATAAGAAAAAAAATTGTGCGAACGAACGAGAAAACGAACGCGTTGAAAAATCGTGTCGAAGAATGATTTAATTCGAAATATAACCGTTGTGAAGCAAAGAGATCGCACTAGTCCGACGTGTGTAGGCGTGTATACGTACACGACTACGTGCTATGTATTTCCACGAGTTCAGAGTAACCAAGAGGAAGGAAGACCAATGACCTCATAATGGAGGTGATATCGGTATAACTCGAATCGACTTGGTCGCATCTAGACTCTAGATCTTTCTCTCTCTTTTTCCCTTTCTACGCTATTTTCACCATTGACTTTTCAAAGTTCACGATAATTTCAACGGATATTTTTTCGGTTTCTTTTTCGTATATGTATGAATACATTATTCTTCCAACATGAAATGATAGTCCAACATTTTACAGGTTATGGAACGAAACGGCTGATCGAAGCACGGTACTTGACCGTTCGCATTCTAAATTGAACTCGTGACTTGGTCTAAGTGGCGCGAATGATTCCAGTGACGTCAAGCTTGTTCACTTTCTGCTCTTTGTTGCGATGGATTCGCGAATCGATTTCGAGAATATAGTATACGCGATGAGAAAAATTCATTGATTCGGAAACGATCGTATCGAAGTTGCCATTTTTCTCGTATCGAAAAGAGTCACGAATTGAGCACTCGAAAACTCGAATTTGTACGGGCGATATGCGCATGCGCTTGCGTGTGTCGTCAACCGCGATATCCCGGCAAATGTCAGTCTACCGTGGTAAAACGATGAATCGTGGCGTGCGCACGTGCGTGCGTTCGAACGCGTGACCCGGTGTTGGCATCGCGCAAACACGAATGTGAATTCTCCTTGCCCATCCGTATGACAAAGTTCGTTCCCCTTATTGCTTACCCTCTGGTAAATGGTATTTAAAACCATTTGCGAAAACTAGTCCGACTGGTCTTTCTCTGTACAGTCGTGATTATATTGAGTACGTACGTACGCGTCAATATCTTTGTTTTCTCTTCTTTTTTCGTCGTTTATGTCATTTACCGGTTGACGGGAAAACAAGCATCGAGAAGAATGCAAAGAATGCTTGCATGAAAGAAACGATAACATTATTTATGAAATTGAGAAACCATTGAAAGTCCATGTAAAAACTTGAAAGAAACAAAATACCATCAGCGGTGTTGTTTTGCGCATCGTAAATTAAAATTAAAATTAAAATTAAAATTAAATTAAAAAAATTAATGAGAGAACGAAAAAGAAATATTAACGCGTCGACCGTTCGTATATATCTCAAAGTTACACAAACGACGCCAAGTACAACAGGTGTCCGGTTGATCCAAAATTGGCTTTTGAATCACGACACGAAATCGAAATGATGATTCGAATAAACATGGACATTATCGATTGAGAAAAATTGTCGAATATGGATTAAACGGTATATAAAAATGGTAAAAATAACTGGAATTTTAAAACTCGAATATCGACTGTTACATTGAATTACGATGAGATAAAAATAAGGTTAGAGAAAAATAAGGTTGGTCGTTTCGTGATTTACGATATATTACGATGTTCGATGAGGAATGATTCGATCGTTGAATATTATACAAAAAAACAGAGAATAAAAAATTTCGATGAACAAAGAAGAATCAATGGTGAAATAAAAAGGAAGAGAAAGATGCAAACAGGCAAGTGTCGAATCGCGATAAGAAAGAAAGAGAAAAAATGCGATTAAATGCGCAACGACGCGTTACTTAGAATACACTCGCTTGTTTAAAACGAATTCCGTTCGTTTGTTCGTTCATTCGTTCGTCGTTCTCGAAGAACATACATCACGTCGGTATATTTGTAGGTCTGTCTGAGTGCTGACACCAACTGATAAGATTTAGAACGTGATTTAGTCACCAGTGTGCATCACTGCGCACTATTATCACTTTGTGCACCAACAAACACCAATTCGATTCCAATGGTAACCGATGAATTTAATCGCGAGTCAGTTAGAAAACATTATAAACGGCAAGAATAATGGCTTATGTTTTATCGAAGACGAGCCATCGAGTCGAACGAACGAAGAAATCGACACGTCAACGATAAACGATATGATCGACAACAGTAGAGTTCTAGAGAACAACACGCAAAATATAAAGGGAAAATTGCGAATTTGTTGGAACGGGTACGCGCGCGCAAAAACGTAACGGATAACGAGAGAGAACTGCGCGCGCGATGCGCGCTACTGTTTCTTTCGCGATTCTCTCGCATTCTCTGGGGGGGTGTCGCGCGCGCACGATGACAGCGCCCTGCCTCGTGAGACTCGCGAATCTCGGTTATTTATAGAGACCCGGTATTGTTGCGTTCGAAGCACATTTGTACTTTTCGCCTGAGCGCGAGCCGGCTACGTAATTGTAAAACTGCTTCGCTACGTTCGTCTCTCCTCACCGCCACCCACCAGTTTCTCTACCACTCTAGCAACAACCGTCGCTTCTTCACCGCATCCTCCTATTCGCAACCGTTGCCCTTCTGCCGTCTTCCTGCTGCCTTTGCGCGTTGCTCCCTTCTCCGCTGCCACATCGATCGTCTTTCTTCGTCCTTTCCATGTTCCTTCGTTCTACCACCGACTACCACGTACCGTTAAAATTTGGACTCGTCTGCGTTGCTCGATTGTTTTCGTCGCGTCGCATAGCGCCGTCTAGTACTAGGTCCGTTGCCATTCTTTTCTTTGTCTCTTGTTCTTTTTATCCCATTTTATCTTTCGTTCTCTTTTCGCTCGGAAAATCGCGTAAGCGAATAAACGCGAATTTTTTTATCTTTATCGCAAATTTGATTTTCCTTTTATTTTCTCGTTCGATGTTCGATAAAAAACAAGTTTCAGTTTTACGTTACGAATCGGTATTGTTACAAATTATTTTAAACAGCGAGTAATTTATTCGTTAAGGAAAAGAAAAACGATAACAACAAATGCCGAGTTTTCAATTTTATATAGCGTACATCCGCGATTAAAAATGGCGATAATATCGCAAACGTATCGTATTCGGCCGATGCGTTTTATTTCCAGATTACACGATACATTTTTTTTTTTTTTTTTTTTTTTTTTTTTTGAAAAAATAAGGCAATACAAGGAAAGAAAAGACAATAAACAGAATGAAACATTGAAATGTCTAAAAATCAGTTGCAGGTGGTTTCTCTAATGGACGATTGTTTTCAATCGATTAAATTCTTTTTTCGTTTAAATTCGATCGATATCCACGTTTCTTTTCTCATTATTACCGCATCTTCTCTCCCCCCTCCCCGGTTATCTTTCAATTTCTTTCATTGTTCATAATACGACTTCGATGATCCCCATATCTTTTAGAAAACAAATCTATAAGAGAGAGAAAGAGAGTTATCGGGAATCACGAGAAAGCTACCTTCCGAAAATAGGAGACAAGGTCACCCCTTCTTAAACCATTTCCTACGTTCTCTTCCTCGCTCCGTCGCACCACCCTAAAACTCGAATGTATCGATCAGCCGAACGGCGAATTCCGATACATTCGTGGATGTAAGATGTGTACTTTTATATATATATATATCCGAGAACATACTTCGTGTTACAAATATTTTTCCGTTTTACATCCGTTTTACATCGAGAATTTGTTGTTTCACCTTGTAAAGAATGTATCGTCAATGAACATTCATCCGTCGTCCGTAATTACGATCGATCGAGTTTCTGGAAGAAGTGGAAGGAGACGTCGAATGGAAGAGAGAGAGAGAGAGAGAGAGAGAGAGAGAGAGAGAGAGAGAGAGAG